AAAGAAAGAACAAAAGCCAAGCAAGCAAGTACAATAACAAGAAAAAGAAAGAAGAGCTTTATTGTTTTTAATTAGTTTTTATAATTAAAAATATCACAATCCAAAACAAATAAACTGTTTTTACCTAAGACCAAGTGTTAAATTTAAGAGATTAATGCTTTTAGCTAAAGCAGAACCTAAGCCTGATGTACCTTCATCACCAATTTAATTAAAACTTTTTAAATATTAAAGAAAAAATATTTAATTAAATAGTTAATTAGAAGGAAAAAATGAAGAAAAATATGATAAAAGCTAAAAATGAAAATAAAATGATGAGTTAAATTAACCAAAAAAAGCAAGCAAGCACAATAAAAAGAAAAAGAAAAAAGAGCTTTATTGTTTTTAATTAGTTTTTATAATTAAAAAGATCACAATCTAAAACAAATAAACTGTTTTTACAAAAGTATAAGTCTCAAATTTGAAAGATTAATGCAATTTGCTAAAGCAGAACCTAAGCCTGATGCACCCATTGCACCAATTTAATTTTCACTTTTTAAATATTAAAGAAAAAATATTTCAGTAAATAGTTAATTAGAAGGAAAAAATGAAGAAAAATATGAAATAATAAATAAGATTAATTAATAATAAAAGCAAAAGTTGAAAATAAAATGATGAGTTAAATTAACAAAGAAAGAACAAAAAAAAGCAAACAATCACAATAAAAAGAAAAAGAAAATAGAGCTTTGTTGTTTTTAATTAGTTTTTATAATTAAAAATATCACAATGCAAAACAAATAAACTGTTTTTACCTAAGATCAAGTGTCAAGTTTGAGAGATTAATACAATTTGCTAAAGCAGAACCTAAGCCTGATGCACCCATCGCACCAATTTAATTTCCACTTTTTAAATATTGAAGAAAAAATAAATCATTAAATAGTTAATTAGAAGGAAAAAATGTAGAAAAATATGAAATAATAAGATTAATTAATAAATAATAAAAGCAAAAGTTGAAAATAAAATGATGAGTTAAATTTACAAAGAAAGAACAAAAAAAACAAGC